CAGAATGAGAGATGATGTATTAAAAAGCCACAGGGAGTTTTGGCATTAGAGCGGCAAGACATATTGGCACAATGTATATCATAAAATTACCATGATAAGCCAATTTGAAATACAACTAATATAAACTAATAATACCATACCTTTATAGACATTTGCTCGCCATCAACATTCTACATCAAGAGATTCTGGGGATATTCAATGGGGTTATCTCTGGGTTATCCCTGGGGGTAATCTCTGGGTTATCTCCTGGGGTTATCCCTGGGTTATCCCTGGGGTTATCCCTGGGTTATCCCTGGGTTAACCTAGGGTTATCCCTAGGATATCCCAGAGGTATCCCAAGGGTTATCCCTTGAGTTATCTTAAAAAACACAGCTGAAATGACATTGATCTGACATCAATTAGACTCAAAATGCCTTCCAGTAATCCATCATTGTAACAGTAGTTCACCTATAAGTCCAAATTTCAATTTTTTGGGTAGTGTATGGCCCTGGCTGTGTGTGGTTGTGGTGGCCCTGGACCTGCTGTGTATGGTTGTGGTGGCCCTGGACCTGCTGTGTGTGGTTGCTGTGTATGGTTGTGGTGGCCCTGGACCTGCTGTGTATGGTTGTTGGCCCTGGACCTGCTGTGTATTGCTGTGGTGGCCCTGGACCTGCTGTGTATGGTTGTGGTGGCCCTGGACCTGCTGTGTATGGTTGTGGTGGCCCTGGACCTGCTGTGTAAGGTTGTGGTGGCCCTGGACCTGCTGTGTAAGGTTGTGGTGGCCCTGGACCTGCTGTGTATGGTTGTGGTGGCCCTGGACCTGCTGTGTATGGTTGTGGTGGCCCTGGACCTCCTGTGTATGATTGTGGTGGCCCTGGCCTGCTGTGTATGGTTGTGGTGGCCCTGGACCTGCTGTGTGTGGTTGTGGTGGCCCTGGACCTGCTGTGTGTGGTTGTGGTGGCCCTGGACCTGCTGTGTATGGTTGTGGTGGCCCTGGACCTGCTGTGTATGGTTGTGGTGGCCCTGGACCTGCTGTGTAAGGTTGTGGTGGCCCTGGACCTGCTGTGTATGGTTGTGGTGGCCCTGGACCTGCTGTGTGTGGTTGTGGTGGCCCTGGACCTGCTGTGTGTGGTTGTGGTGGCCCTGGACCTGCTGTGTAGTGCTGTGGTGACCCTGGACCTGCTGTGTAGTGCTGTAGTGACCCTGGACCTGCGGTGTAGTGCTGTGGTGACCCTGGACCTGCTGTGTATGGTTGTGGTGACCCTGGACCTGCTGTGTGTGGTTGTGGTGGCCCTGGACCTGCTGTGTAGTGCTGTGGTGACCCTGGACCTGCTGTGTAGTGCTGTGGTGACCCTGGACCTGCTATGTATGGTTGTGGTGACCCTGGACCTGCTGTGTATGGTTGTGGTGGCCCTGGACCTGCTGTGTGTGGTTGTGGTGGCCCTGGACCTGCTGTGTATGGTTGTGGTGGCCCTGGACCTGCTGTGTATGGTTGTGGTGGCCCTGGACCTGCTGTGTATGGTTGTGGTGGCCCTGGACCTGCTGTGTATGGTTGTGGTGGCCCTGGACCTGCTGTGTATGGTTGTGGTGGCCCTGGACCTGCTGTGTGTGGTTGTGGTGGCCCTGGACCTGCTGTGTAGTGCTGTGGTGGCCCTGGACCTGCTGTGTATGGTTGTGGTGGCCCTGGACCTGCTGTGTATGGTTGTGGTGGCCCTGGACCTGCTGTGTATGTTTGTGGTGGCCCTGGACCTGCTGTGTAGTGCTGTGGTGACCCTGGACCTGTGGTGTATGGTTGTGATGGCCCTAAGCCACAATGTGGGACTGAGAACAGGAGGTGCTTTTGAACCCTCACGGTTATAAACTATGGAAGCGCCTACCCGCTGAAGCCGTAAATGGCAAGATTGTTGAGTTTCAAAATCCAACTGGAATTGATTATCAAGGAAAATGTGGGGACATTCGACAAGCCGCTGGCTTCCTGTCCTTGTCGAGGCCGAGAAAGGCCAACATTCATCCTCTGTTGGCCCTCAGGTAAATTCAGGTATAATCTAGTTGACTTGAGGGGAAGTGAAATTCACATCTGTTCCTCCAACCATCATCATTCTATTGTACAGGAAGAACCGCACATCTATGGATCATCGTATTAGGTAAGCAGACTTTTAGCTTCTGGGAGTTTGCTCCACCTTGTGATGTAGACTTAACCAAATGTAAACTCTGTCAACAGAACTAGTCACACACCTTCCGTCATTATATAACTGAATGTGAGAAATCGCAGAATTCGGAGATTACACCATCAATGGTGTCCATGAAATGTGTAAAAACTTATTTATAATGATGTACTACCAGGAATCTTAGTCAAGTATCCTGAAATTGCTAACTGTAGGTGCAGCCTGCACATGACTGTAAAGCTGCCGCCCAGTTGGGCGGGTGTGGAGCAAGACTGGTAACTGCATGACTTACCATGGATGTAAAGTGCCTTGTATAGTGACTTTTGTGAGCCTCTTGTTGAATCACGTGATATAAAAAGACAATTGATAAATGTATATGAATTTTAGTATACATGTATGTATTTTAGTATAGTAGTAGTAGGCATCCATCAGTCTCAGGAGACTATGGAGTTGCGCTCTGATTGTCGGCCTGGAGTGGCCTCTCCAAGGAGCAAAGCCAGGGTAGGTTGATAAGGAGGAAAAGCTGTTACCCAGGCAGCAGGTCCCCCCCCCCTCTCCACGGCGCCGAAAGTCTCCAATGGAAAGGCAAACGCCAATTCGATTGGTTTCAGCGCCGTCGCAGGAACCGTGAGTTCCGGAGTTGACCTGGAAGTTGGTGAAAAAAGGCACAGGGACACCAAACCCGGAGACTACCGTGGACGGGGCTGAAGAAGGACCACCCTATCAAGGGCAAGAACGACCCCAGCCACCTAAAGCAGAGCCTGGGGGGCCGCACGAGTCCCGGGAGGTGGACGTCCCGGTCCCGCATCTACGGGTTCCAGACAGAGATCGTCACAGCCCTCTTTCACCCGAGGCCGGTATCCTTCAAGACCAAGCGGAAGGAAGAGTGATAATTATTAAATACAACAATTATTATTATAATAATTATTATAATAATAATATAACTAATTAATAATTATCACTCTTCTTTCTGTATTTTAGTATACATGAATGCATATATGTGTAATATCAAAATTGTGTGACTAGCTTCACAATATTGTTACTTCCTTAGCTTAACGAACTATGGGGTTCAGTTCCTGTACCCATTATGTGCCTCTGTAACCCTTTCCACCCCCACCCATGAGATGGGTGCATTATTGTGACGATATCAACGCCATCTGTTGAGCGCACCCGTCCACATTTTATGTTCCCCGGTGGAAGGCTGTGATCTTACTGACATCTGTGTAGTTTCTTTCTTACTATACAAATTTTACTCCTCAGAAGTGATGTGGAGGTTACCTTGGTTGACAAGCGTCAGTTCCCCCAGGGCAGTCCTGAACGTTAGACTTATTCCAGTGGGATCACCTCGGCCGAGTCTGTGGAGACAGTGAATTGTCTGTGATAACCAGTGAAGTATTGGTGATTAGACCGACGGACCTGGCCTAGTTGTGTTACTAGATGGAATTAACTTCTAACTGTCCCCTAAGTTAAGTCTTGTTATGGTGAAGTCTTTAGGGGAAGCCAGCCAGAGTATTGCTGGGGAGTCGAAGTGGTGTTTTGACACTGATGATAGTGTGGAGGACTGACCCATGATGTACTGAGAAATGTGGACTCGCCGGCCTGAGTACTGAAGAAGAAAGGCTCACGGAAGATACTTTGAGTGTTGTACAATAGATGATATTAGTGGACTCGCTGGGATAGAAGATCAGTTCTTTAGTAGTGGCATGTGTGAAAGTGACACATACAGTGTTACATGTTGTACATATGTAATATGTGTATATAGTTAAGAATTAATAACTTACCTATGACTCGGGGTTGGATCTGGTAAGAAGAGGCACTAAGGGCCCACAGAAAGTTTCAATAGAGAGAACCCGGTTACTGGCTAACACTATTATATGACTAACCTCTAGCCTGGAGGGACGGTGTCGGGGGTGTTGGTGTTACTTGCGGTTGGAGGGACGGGGTTGGTGGGGGGGGGGGGAGTGATGGTGTTACGGCCGGGTTGAGTGGGGCAGGAACGGTCCTGGAGGGACGATGGGGGGGGGGGGAGATTATTATTATTAACATCTTTATTGACAAAATTAATTACAATTTTGCCAAATCTGAGGATTGTGATAGGTCTTATTAAAGTGAGGATAATGCTGGTATTCACTGTCACGCAGGAAAGAGGGTCATACATAAGACAATAGGTCTAAACTGTAGGCTGAAGCACATATATATCATGGTTACAATCAATGTTTTAATGTATGGATACGTGAAAACAACTTTCTATTGTGCACTGCCACACAAGGGCAGGGATGGGTTCATAAGTGATACAGCTTAGAAGTAATATAAATAAAAATTGTTCTTCATTCTTTAAAATGGACAAGCAAATTTTGGGTAAATTGTTAGGATGTCGTCCAGAACACCTGAGTCAATAAAATAGTTACACAGTTGGTGGCACAAGAGGCCAGGAGGTTTAAAGTCCTTTACGGTTTCACATTCATCAATATAGTGTTCTAGTGAATGCATTAAAGGTTTATCACAGAGTTTACAATCTGAATATTCTGGTAGTGGCTCAGCCTCACTAACCTGCCAGATGTGTCTATAGCCAAGGCGAATTCGCGCAATGACTACATCACATTGCCTGGTCCGGTTACTGTGGGGGAAGAATAATGATAGTGATGCTTACGGCCGGGTTGAGTGGGGCAAGAACGGTCCTGGAGGGACGGGGGGGGGGGTAGTGATAGTGATGCTTACGGCCGGGTTGAGTGGGGCAAGAACGGTCCTGGAGGGACGGGGGGTAGGGATAGTGATACTTACGGCCGGGTTAGGTAGGACAGGAACGTAAGCACACTGTGAGTCACCTCACAGTGTACAGCTGGAAGTGGTCGAGGCGGGAGGCTGTTGCCACCACTACCGCCACTCTTTATCTCTCCGCTACACAGTACGTTACCGTCCAGTGCTGGTCTCCGTGTCCACCACTTACGTTGCCCTCCAGTGCTGGTCTCCGTGTCCACCACTTACGTTGCCCTCCAGTGCTGGTCTCCGTGTCCACCACTTACGTTGCCCTCCAGTGCTGGTCTCCGTGTCCACCACTTACGTTGCCCTCCAGTGCTGGTCTCCGTGTCCACCACTTACGTTACCGTCCAGTGCTGGTCTCCGTGTCCACCACTTCCTCGTAGTGTCACGTATAACAGAACGGTGAAGTATTTTTGGTGACCTGCGTTTATGGAGGGACAGAACTGAGTGTCAGAAGCCTGCCAGAAGTTACTTGTAGGGATCACTCAGGCAATACGGGAAGATAACATCCCCATGACGAGGTAAACCCACATTCATCCTCTGTTGAAGTTATCTTTTCACTAACAATAAGACGTGACCTTCACTAACAGTAAGACGTGACCTTCACTAACAGTAAGACGTGACCTTCACTAACAATAAGACATCACCTTCACTAACAATAAGACATCACCTTCACCAGTTGCCCTCAAGCTAGAGGAGAAGGAGCACGCAGGATGTATCCGTCCTCCTGTTTGACATAGGCCTAAGGTTTAGTCTTTAGTGCGCCAAATAGGTCAGCTACAGCGGTACTAAGTGTGCACTGCCCCTCCTACCAACTGTGGTAGGCCGTGGATGTGTGGATTGACCAGAAGTTAAGACAGTAATTGTTAATGTGGCAAAATCAAGGCCCACTGAGGGGCAGCGTTGTGAGGTAGGTAGGCCGCCCCACAGTAGATAGGCCGCCCCACAGTAGGTAGGCCGCCCCACAGTAGGTAGGCCGCCCCACAGTACCTAGGGCCCGAGGCAACAATCGTGTGAAAAATAGTCTGTGCCCTCCTTACCCAAAGTCGCGGTTTGTGTGTGCGACTGGTGTGTTTACACGAGAGACCGCCAGGACACCCTATACTGTCTAGTGCCCCTACATTACGTGTGAGTGTAAACCTTGTGCCTTGCAGGTGTCTATATGTGCATGTGTGTGTGTAGGGTAGAGTGCAGTGCTGAAGACATACCACCCAAGAACACATGAAATGAGACGCAGCAAATAGATCGTTGTTGAAACTTGAAGTAAGACTTTGAGACAACAAGTGAGCATGGCTGGTGTGCCCGGGAACAATAACAGTCCTCCCGGTGTGGGCTCCCGTCCCCTCAGGGGGCCTCCAGGTGCTGATCCCCACCCGGGCCCTCCAGCGAGGATCCCAACCCGGGACCCTCCAACAGTAATGGTACAAGTCACTCTACAACAGAGGATGATGCTAACTTCCGACTAGTTCAAGGCAGAAACAGCATGAAACGGGACAGGTTACAGGGAAAGGGTTAGCAGCAACAGAAGCCTCAACAACAACGACAAGACGAAGACAGTGAGTGGCACACCCTAATATTTCCTGCAATGGGAATGACAGCAGCAGAGAAGTACAGATGGATTATTAAGGCCGCCCGCGCCCACAGAGCAGAGTATCGTATAGAGAGCAGGTGTGTAGGCGGCAATGTTAGTGCACGGGTGCAGGGGCACAGAACCCTGAAGTACTTCACAGAGACCAGTCTCGAGTATCAAGGTAAGGATGTTAAATTGTTGGAAGCAAACCCACAGACAAGACAAACTAAAATTATAATTAAGAACTATAGTATTCATAGTTCATAGACGTGGAATTTCTCCATGACTATGAACAGAGTGTTTGGGTGGAGCGCAACACTGGACCAGGGGGACTGCCCAAAAATTAAGCAATTGCTATGTCGAAGGGAGACCTGCCCCCAGTCATTAAATACCAGGCATGAGGGAGTGCAAAGTGGAGAGGTATATTGGCAGCCCGTCCTTGTGTGGCAACTGTCAACGGTGGGATCACAGAACGTGGCAATGTGATCGCCCAATTAGGTGTGGGTGTTGTAGTGGCTCTCACGACACCAAGCAGTGCCTGGCTAAGCTTAAACCGGGTGGGGGTGGCGGGGTAACACCTAGATGTGTGAACTGCAAGCAGCCCCATCATGCCTGGAACAGATATTGCAGCAAGAGGCCTGACTGGCAGGGCTTGAGAAAGACAACGACGCAGACAGCAGGTGGACCAGTGAACAGGGTTGGGAATGGCTCCGTGAACAGTACCATAGCAAACCAGGGTCCAGCCTACAGTAGGCAGACAACAGCCTGGCGTAGTGGTGGAGTGACCCCACCACCACCCCACACAGGCCTAACTAGACCCCCTTCCTCTCACAAACCCACTTACCTCTACCCAACTTACTAACCCCAACCCTACCTCGCTCACTAACCCCAACCCTACCCCACCCAACAACCCCATTCCTGCCTCATCACCCATACCCCCTAACGCCTCCCAGTCAACCAGCACTTCTGCCTCTCAGGCGACCCTCCCTCCCTCCCAACCTACCACTCCCCCTCCTCCTCACTTACCAGCCAACACCTCACTGGGTCTAGATAAGACAATGCCGCCCGATATGGAAGCAATGACTACCTACGTGATAAAAAATCACCCACTCATGCAATTGAGCACTGTCTCAGAGTTCCGCGCCGTAACCATCAGAAGAAGAAAATAAAATGGTATGAGAATGACTACATAAAGATGCACATTGCAAATGTAAGGAGCATGAGTAGAGAGTACCGGAAACATCCCACTGACAGCAACCAAGAGCTGTTTAAAACTGTGTGTCAAGTAGCCAGGGAAGAGAAGATTAAAGAGCAGGAAAGACAATGGCTTGAATTTACTAGCTCTATTGGAAGAGAAACATCTGCAAGACATGTATGAGCAAAAATTCAGATAGCTAAGGGGGCAGAATCCGGCCTGCGGCTCACAAAAAAAAAAGGGTAAGGCTGAAGAACTTATTCACAAGTGGAGTGATGCAGCATTCACCTCCTCCCTCCCGGAAGAAGTAAGCAGGGAACAGCTCCTCCGGCATAATGACAGAAGGATTAGGATAACAAGAGCACAGTCTAGTGATGATGAGTATGGGGAACCAATCACAGCTCAGGAAGTAAAGGGGGCTATGAAAAAGGGTAAAAGTACAGCATCTGGTGAAGATGGCATCACCTACGACATACTCAATGCTCTGTGTGAAGTGTCTGGGAATCCACTACTCCACCTGTTTAACAGGTCATTCATACTCTCATCACAAGCGGGGAGAAAATGAAGAACTACAAATTAATGGTGTAACACTTGAATGGGTTGACCACTATCGGTACCTTGGCGTCACTGTCGGCTCTAACAAGGGGAAGAAAGAGGAGCTCAACTAACTCATAGGAACATGCAAAAGTCGATGCAGGGCACTGAAAGCCATGACCAGGAATGGACATGGAGCCTCTATTGCCGTGCTTAAAATTATATACACAGCCTATGTGCGCTCCGTCATAGACTATGCCGCACCAGTCTTATGCACTTACTCCCAAAGCGATATGAAAAGGCTCGAGAGCATTCAGAATCAAACCGTGATAATCATTCTTGGGGTTTCAAGAACTGCCAAAACGTTTAATCTACGAGAGGAGTTGTCCCTCCCCAGTGTTAAAAGCAGAATTAAGGAGCTGAATGTTAAGCTTGCAAGTAGGATAGCCAGAGATCTCCATCACAATGATATTGCTAAGAAAAAACTGAGTTCTGCGCTACTCTCAGGGGGAAACAGGAGAAGCAAAAAATGGCATCACAGATCAGTCTGCTACCTCGAAAAATCCAAAATGATACCACAAGAAATGAGGCACAAGTATCTCGAGGAAATTTATAAAGAAGCCGGTGATGAACTAGATGAAATCTACACTGACGGGTCATCTAATTCTGTCAATGGCAGGGCTGGTGCAGCATACACGGTAATTAAGGATAATACTTTCCTTAATATCAGCGATAATACTAGTCGCTGAAATTAAGAGAGCTGTGAGGGTACTTACCAATCAGGGAAGAGTCGTCAAGTTTCTGTGGATCCCCTCCCATGTTGAAATATGTGAGAATGAACGAACAGATGTGCTGGCTGCTGAAGGAGACCATATTAAATACTTCATACCCAAGACTCTACTACAAATTAGAGGTATTGTCAGGCAACATCACCGTGACAAGGTAACTGAGGAAAGGAGGATAGAAGCACACACCAGTGAATCTGTACAACATGGTTGCAGCTGGCAATCCCAATCATTATGGACGAAGAGGAGGAGGACGCGGGAGAAAATCAGTAATAGCGAGAATCCGTCTTGGATACAAATATCCATGGAGATATGGAATGGAAACAATAGTTGATCAGCGAAGTTGCAGAATCTGTGGTGAGTGATGGACACCGCCTTGACCACTATCTACGTGAATGTGAACACCTGAGAGACATTAGAAATATGTGTAGAATAATAAACCTCACATTGAGTTAGGAAAACACTATTTGTCAAATATTGATGCTGTTCTTAAAAGATTTCCCCATTTTGCACCCGCAAGATAACGTAAGCTTTTAAGGGTTGACAGATGTTAATCGTCTTGTTTGAGGAGCTGTTCACTTGAGACAGTTAAGCAAGTCCCAGCTGTGTCTGGGTACAAGTGACAGGATGAACAACCCAGCGGGGTTTCTTCCTATTGGGGAGTGTTGTACATGCTGCTACAGCATTATGTCAACTCACAGGATGAGTGGCGCTGCCCAATAAACTCGCCTCTCGGGGCAAAATTAAAAAAAAAAATCACCTTCACTAACAATAAGACATCACTTTCACTAACAATAGGACATCACCTTCAGCAATAAGACATCACCTTCACTAACAGGTAAGACATCACCTTCACTAACAGGTAAGTCATCACCTTCAGCAATAAGACATCACCTTCACTAACAATAAGACATCACCTTCACTAACAATAAGACATCACCTTCACTAACAATAAGACATCACCGTCACTAACAATAAGACGTCACCTTCACTAACAATAAGACGTCACCTTCACTAGCAATAAGACGTCACCTTCACTAGCAATAAGACATCACCTTCACTAACAATAAGACATCACCTTCACTAACAATAAGACATCACCTTCACTAACAATAAGACATCACCTTCACTAGCAATAAGACATCACCTTCACTAACAATAAGACGTCACCGTCACTAACAATAAGACATCACCATCACTAGCAATAAGACATCACCGTCACTAACAATAAGACGTCACCTTCACTAACAATAAGACATCACCTTCACTAACAATAAGACATCACCTTCACTAACAATAAGACATCACCTTCACTAGCAATAAGACATCACCTTCACTAACAATAAGACATCACCTTCACTACCAATAAGACATCACCTTCACTAACAATAAGACATCACCTTCACTAACAATAAGACATCACCTTCACTAACAATA